TAATATTAGCATTTACTTTTTTGTACAGTAATATTGATATATAATAAAATGTGTATTGTTTATTTAGTAAATTCTAKTAGTTTAGAGATTTTGATTTTTTTTTGCAAAATTTAAAAGAGTAATTAAACAAATGTTACTACACTCAAAAATCCTTTTTTTTTTTCAGTGCACTCACACCTGTTCAGTTATCAGCCCAGGTGTTTCTGGTTTATGTAAACTTTCCTCCCTCTGTTGTTCAGTCTGACATTAATTGTCTTTTAGCAAAATATCTTATAAAAGACTAAATAAATGTAACAAAAGTCATAAATTAATTATTGGATGTACAGCTGGTGCCTCTGTGCTGCAGTGGTCACAGCTGTTACCTCACATGCAGCCTTTATGTGTGGAGTTTACATGTTCTCCCTGTACAGGTGTGGGTTTTCTCCAGGTACATGGTTTCCTCCAACAGAACTAAGACACATGTTAGRTTCAGTCTCTAAACTGTCCCCAGGTGAGACGGGGAAGGCAAAGGGTTAGAGTGGGAGGACACTACCACTGAAGCACATTTAATGAATTTGATCAAACTTTATTTTCTTGGCATTTCCTGTCAGGTGACTGCAGTCTGTCACAGCTAATCAGCATTAGCTAACACAMCAATGACTATATCAGACTCTGAGCTCAACAGTAACAACATGAAGTGAGAAGTTCTATAACAACAAGATCTTTTATAACACTTGAGCAGACAGGCTAAAACTAATGGAGGAGGAGGTGGGTGATGTGCACTCCTTTGAGAAGAACCTTTTGGACTCTTCTGTCTGTGTGTTCCTGCTTTGACCTGAGTGAATGTTTGAATGTTGAACCTGTAGAAGACATCTTGACGTTGACCGGTCTCATCATGTCTCTCCCCTCAGGTTGGAGTTCACAGTGGGCAGCAAGGCTCTAAACTGCTTTCGTCTCATTGAGAGACACTTCTTTAAAAACCTCCTTCTCAAAACCTTTGACTTTGAGATCGGCTTCTGCATCCCCCACAGCAGGAACACCTGTGAACACATCTACTGCTTACCTGACCTGGAGCCTCATGTTGGTACGATTAAGTAATGACTCTGAGGTATTTTAACACTAGTAACCCAACCACACCCAACAGACTGTAATGTTAAGGGTAACAGGTTGAACTTGTTCTGCTACAGCTCACTGTTGAAGGCAGAAGAGTGGTAATGTTATTTATTGTCTGTGGGCTTGTAGTGTTAGCAAAATATCTCATGAATGAACAGATTTCAGTGAAACTCTCAGAAAGTAATCGCTGTCTGCACTTGTGCAAAATCGTATTGTGTGCAAATGTCATTGTCATAAATGTAACGCTACTTTAAAAACTACATAAACAATCTAGAAAACTAAAAATCTACAGCTGTGTCTTCACTGTTACATTCCTGAGGACAAGCAAYAAGTCATGTAAAAGTCCAAGTTAATAAACMAACACAGATCAACAGCGTTATAGCCCTTGTAACTAAATGAACCAAAAATGTTTTAATTCACAACTTCTCCAATATCTATCAATCATCATATTATTTGTTATGAGCTAAATGCCTAAATTAATTGTGATTATTATTTTTTGCCAGTATTTCCCAACCCTAGTCTGCACATCTGCAGCTGATTAACATTTGGATTGAATCAAGGTGAACCTTAGCAAAGACAAAAGTAGCTGTAACTCAGCCAGCTTTACAGATACTGAACTAAAATTTGCTGTGGTAGTAGCTGCGGGTTGGACTTGTTGTTAACTCTAATCAATAACAGATCTGACATGATGTATGTAAACTTTTAGACCAGAAAAAGATGTCGCTGATCTTCTCAGGTTTGTCGACGTCTGACTCATTTTTAACTTTCTTTACTCCACAGTTGAAGACATGATCGCCAACCCGTTTGAGACTCGCTCGGACAGTTTTTACTTTGTCAACAACAAGCTGATCATGCATCACAAAGCAGAGTACTCCTTTGCTGCACAAACAGACGCCAGCAGAGGGAATAACGTGAACAGTGTTGGATAGTAGATGAAAATGTTCATTTTATGGTTAGCATAATAAACTCCTCACTTCTCTGGATGTTTACTGTGTTTACAAATGATCAGTGTGAAGGAGGAGGAGTTTGTGGTTTGATCTTTGCTGATGAATATGTCAAATAAAGCAAATGGGTTTTTGAGTAGCATCTACTGTTTGTCCAGTAAAGTTTTGTTAATGTTAGTTAACTGTTGGTAGTAATGCAACAGTAGCTAGAATGAACAACTTGAAACATTTCATGTGAGACAGTTGTGCTAATATATTAAAAAAAGGTCAAAAAGTGCATTTATTTTATCATCAGACTGGAGAAAGCTCTTCAAGRAACACCAAAAATGAACAGCATTGAATTCTGGAACTACTTTGTGTTTCCAAGTTGAACCATGAAGCACAAAACTACAGCACAATTCTTTAGACATCTATAGCTATYCAGACTGGTCTTTGAGAAAAATATCTCGAACATCTATAAATATGATTGTTTTCTTTCCAATTATTGTAAATGTAGGCAAAATGCACCAGTGAAAAGATATGCTGTCTGGTCAGCATCACAGTTTAAGGCGTCTCTCTCCCTTTGTGAGAGTACAGATTKAAATGAGTGTGTAAAATCAATCTTAGGCCCACAAAACCTGTGCAGTCCTGTGGGGTTCCAGGCCAGAAACACAAAATACCAGAGAGCAGGACAGTGAGTGCTCCAAGTAATAACCTTCAGAGACAATAAGAAACCATCTCTAAAATGCCCTGACCTCTGAAAATGAACAAGTAAAGGCTGCTTGATAACAAAAACAAAGATTAAAAACAAAGTTAAATTAAAATTGTKTATTAACTAACAAAGTGATTTGACACCATAGAATTAAAGATCACTTCCAGTCAGTTAAGTTTAAGGTTTATAAGACACTAATTCTGTCACACTTAGATTCATAAATAACTTTTTAATTAAAAGAACCAACTTTATGACCTCTGACCTATAGTTGTCTTTCAGTAACTGTTCTGTGCAGATGTTTATTTTGTTCAAACAGAAACCTTGGTGTAAAACATGATTCATGCAGAAAATAAATGTGTTCATATGATTGTGAAATATTTTAAAGCAGGAGAAATTAACGTTATTGAATTATTTTTTATTTATCTAATAAAAAATTAGTCAWATGGTGTAACAAACTATTTTGATTGCAGGAAAGTAATTAAGAACGTTTGAACAGGAGAAGATAAGCATGTCGGGCTGAATGGATCATCCACACTCCACGTTCTGGACTTTTCTCCCCTCACTTCGTTATCATGATTACTTTACCAAAGTTTAAAGCATAAGCTGTTGACCGTCCAGCAAAGTAAAAAATTAACAAGAGTTAAAATACTCTTTGTAACTTCAAACTTTATTTAGGTCTAATAACAATTCACTCATAAATGCTTAAAGTAGTAACAGACTAGCAAAAGTTAAAAGCAGCAAAAGGCTAAGAAAACATTTAAAGTAGCAAAAAGCTAACCAAAAGCTAAAGGTAGAAAAAAGGCCAATGGAAAGCTAAAAATAACAAAAGACTAGCTTAAAGTAGCAAAAATCTGACTAAAAGTTAAAACTAGCAAAACAAAAACTAGACGCTAAAAGTAGCAAATGGCTATTTAAACTGTTAAATGTAACAAAAGGCTAACTAAATACTAAATATAGCAGAAGGAAACACAAACAGCCAGTTTACTGATTCATATTTCAAGGAGACACTAGTGTCTGAAAGAAGTGAAGAAATCTACATTTATTTGTTATGTTATGTTATGTTATG